CCTTCGTGGCATGTAGAGACGGAGGATGTGGCGCCAATCCCGTGTGAGTCGCCTGACATGCGCACTACTGGACAGCTAGACGGCGATCGTTGTGTCGGCGGTTGTGGGAGAGAAAAGAGGTCGACGAAGGCGGACGAGTGTTCGGTGAGAGGCCCTTGTAGATGCGAAACTCGACGTTCTGGACGAGGAGGATGATGGACCCATCGTCGAACCAGAACTCTTCATCTCGACATTCGCGGTGGTAGGCTCAGAGTGACCTGATTCGGCCGTCAAGCTCTCAGTAGGAGCATCTGGGGCGAGCTGAGTGGACAGGCCTCAATGAACCGCCAATGGCCTGAAGCGCGTGTAAGAGGGCGTCTCTGTGTGATCGGGGGCAGAAACGCACAGATAGACGGGAGGAGCGGCCATTCGCTCGCTAGAAGGGAATACAGTCAGTGCATTCCCATTCAACCGCAGCAGGGAGGCTGACCTGTGGTGGGAGGAGGGAGAACGCGGGAAGAGCGGAGGCCAAGTTAAGGTTTAGGCCACCGCTTTCGGGCGACGTCGGATTCCAGTGCCCGTCTCGGTCCTCGCCATCCGGCCTCCGCGGCCAACACGAGCCCGCGTGGGATCGCGTTATCTAGAGCGCTTTCCATGGCTTGCGCGGAGGAATTCCGTGTGCGCAAGCTCCCTCGAGGCATGGATTCTGTAAATCAGCAGATCAGAACGACAGATGCATGGCGTGGTGTGGCCGCGGGCGTCATACCTTATACGACACCACTTAGGCCATGTGTGCTCCCAGGTCTCCACGGCGCTATGTTCGTGCTGTGATGAAACGTATACAGTTCGATAGCGGTCAGAGTAGGAGGACGAACGCAAAGGCGCCCGTGCCAAATCTGTGATGACGTTGCAAGGTCACATAAAGGGACAGAGTCACATGTCACGGAACTAGTCATTTTCGTGACTCCCGTCGTCAAATTCGAACGTACGTGTTTGTCTTCTGCCACGTACGAACGACCAGTCAGGATCTGTTGGTATCACGACGGGCAATGCAGGCAGCCTGCCTGGAGGAAATGCGGACGAAAATTGGTAGAAAGCATGCCTTTCGTCCAGCTGAGCGCCTGTGTTTCTGATAGATCGATTGTTTAACTGTCAGCCACATTTCGTCCCGGTCGAAAGGTAAACTGTCCGTACGTCTTTGTCTTTTGCGCGACGTTGTGCAGACCGAGGTCACGCGAGTCGTGAGCTGCGTGAGGCGGGGACGCGCACGTGCGCTGTGCATCGCGCGGGACATGTGCAATGCATGACGCGCACGCATCCCGTTTGTGTGTTGTGTATTGTGTGAACTGGGGACGCGCGAGTCATGAGCTGCGTAAGGTGGAGACGCGTGTCGTGCATCACGCGGCATCAGGACGCGCGGACAGTTTAACTTTCGACCGACACGAAATGTGCACAAACAGTTAAACAATGACCCTATCAGAAGCACAGGCGCCCACCCGTACGAAAGGTATGCTTTCTACCAATTTTCATCCACATTTCCTCCAGGCAGGCAGCCTGCATTGCCCGTCGTGTATGTCCGGACACGTCCCATAGCTCGCGCCGAGCCAAGGCACTAAGGCCGTGGGGCGTACAGCCCACGCGTCAGACAGAGTCGTGACGTAGCTCGAGGACGGGACACGGGCCCTCGCCACTGTCCGCGGATTCGTCAGATGATGTCGCGGAGGCGTCGCCCGGCGAGAGCATGCTGTTGAAGACGGGAAAATGTTGGCATAGGACCTCGATGTGGACGCGGAACACGACGCCGCTCACGACCAGAATGATCGTTCCGTCGGGATAGTGGAAGTCCTCGTCACAACGCACGTATTTCCCCCTCACCTGCTTGCTCCAGAATGCATAGCGACGTTCAGACCATCACTTTCCCATTCTGTCTTCGATAAATCAAGATGTAAGAAAGGCATATAGACAGGTCGTTTCGTCTTGCTTTCATACTTCACTATCCCTACCCCGCGTTTGTCCCTCTGGTGCAGGTGTCAAAATCTCATCTTCGGAGCGAAGAATACAACCAGATGGTGAGAGCCGATAAGTGCTTACTATATTCCACACGATCGAGCAATTGTAGAAGACAGTTTCCTCTATCACACGCATGTGAGCGTAAGAAGGAAGACAAATCGTACTGCACATACCGGGCCCAATCAAGGACGACGTCAACCAACCCGGAATATCTCGGACAACTTCTTCAGCGCCCGCGAGTTCAGATTGTCGAGGTTCACAAGACACGACTCGCACAGCGCCTGTTCCGGATCCGGCCGGACAAACGGCGTCGGATACGCGACCCTGCGCAGGTACGCGTCCAGCTGCATGCTGATGATGAGCTCCGCCGCGGTGTCCCTGCAGACGACGCCGTTCGACTTGCCCAGTCGGTTCCGGCACTGGTACTTCTGCTGGACCAGGTTCAAGGTGTGCCCGGCCCCGTAGAACGCGATCCGCGACACCGACTCCATGCAGAGCATCGCGTCCTCCGCGGAAAGCGTCTCCCGCTGGCCGTCGCCGTACGCGAACCCGTCCGTGAGCTGCTTGCACCCGAGCTGCGCGCACCCGAGGAGAGCGAGGGGGAGGAGCGCGTGCTCGCCGGTCAGGCGCGCGAGGTTGACGACTCCGATCGCGTGCGCGGGGGTGCACCGCGGGAGCGTGTACGGCTCGCCGCGGGAGGTGGTCCACTTCTTCCACCCGTCCAGAGTGGGGGCGAAGCGTCGTTTGAGGTAATCCATCGCGGGGGCGTAGATCGCGGGCATCTGGTACTTGTGGCCCAGCCGGACGCACGCAGAGAGCTGGTCGAAGGAGGGGTACAGCGACAGCTCGTCGGGTTCGGCAGCATCGGGACTGAGGGTGTGCGCGGTATTTCAGAGAGGTCCTACATGCGAGACATGAAGATACGCACATGAGCAGCATGGATCGACTGTGGCTATGAAACAGGATGCACAGGACGTGGCGCCAGTCACGCGCAGAGTCTTGCAGCCTTACCGTGGCAATAGCTGGATTCCCGTTGACGAAAGGCTCTTTACTGGTGGACGCTATGTTGTCGGAAGGAACGCACAGATCGAACATGTCCTTGAAGATCGGCGAGTGCTGGGCGAGCACTCCTCGGTAGACTCGGAAACATACGCCCCCGACGACGAGGTCGAGATTTCCGTCATCATAGTAGATCTTCCGTTCTTCCTCGTGGCTTGATGTGGCTGCGCTGTCCATGTTGGCCTGTGAGACAATCGAGCATGTGAATGGGCACAAGTCTCAATGTACGCTGGTTCGTTTACCTCCAACCATGCTCCGGGAATGGCTATCTCAACGACGTGATCCATAGAGCCCATGGATGATGAAGGAACGGCCTTGAATGCTACAGGTCGCCCAGGACTCTTCGTCATGCTGTCCGGGAGAGGGGCTCCGTCGCGGCGCGTAGGCTCGCCGAGGCACCCGCTAGGGGCTGTCGTGGTCCCAGGCTTTCGCGCGAGCGGACGCGTCAGAGCCCGGCGACGCGTTGACGGTCACGGCGGCATCGGAGTCTGGGCATGCGTCAATGCTCGTGGCGTGACGTCGGAGCCTGGTGGGAGCGTTGACGGTATGAGCCGGTACATGGTGAGTACGCGCTCGTCCGGCGGTTGGAGACGAGCCGCCTCAGTACAGGTTATGCATAAATCCCTGTTAGAGTGCCCCGGCCGCGGCCGCGGGTTTATGCATACCGTACCTTATGCATACACAGATATATGCATAAACATTGAAGTATGCATACAGCTGTAAGAGCGTCAATATCCGTAAACAAAAGGACAGCCACGTGAATCGAACCCACAGCCTCTTGACATCGTACACATACGACACAACAGACCACTATGCCAATGTTCCATGCTGTTTGTGCGTTGCTTACAGTAGATATACTCTCTTCAATACTGACATAAACACAAGGCTTTTGTTGAACTCGTCGTTCATCACAGTCCAGTCATACTTCTCAACACTGCTTGCATACTCACCCTCTCCTCGGGATGCCTACCTATGTCTAAGATTGTGTTTATACATACATCCGGTTTATGCATACACCCCATTTATGCATACAACGTGTTCATGCATACGGCTGGTTTATGCATACGGCCGGTTTATGCATACAGCCCGATTATGCATACAGCCCGATTATGCATACAGCCCGATTATGCATACGGCTGGCTTATGCATACAGCCGGTTTATGCATGCGGCGTGATTATGCATACGGCGCATTTATGCATACAGCGCATTTATGCATACGTCCCGTTTATGCATAAACACTTCATATGGGTAAACACAGCGTGTATTGGTGGGGCAAGATGACAGTGATGTACCGTCAACTCCAGGTCCGAGTCCATGGAGGTGAAGGCGAGATAGTGGGCTGGTGTAAGCGTAGAAATGAGGAATCTGGGGTGAAGCAAGATTTGCGGGGAAAGCAAACGTGAAGAGAGTTGGATCGCGGGAACGCAAGGTACTTGAGGAGGTCAGAATAGACGAGACCGAGGAGGATGATGAGTGCGAGTGCGAGATCGAGGGCGAAGGGGAACGCGCGGTGCGTCTAGATCGATGTGTCGCATAGGGCTGCCGTATTGATCCTAGGTGAACACGGGCGGATCGTGATGGGCGTGTGCGAGGTGGGACGGACAATGTGCGTGGAAAACGTGCGTGAGGACGACATGGATGGGAGCCAGGCGGAGGCGCGTAGCCACTAGTGTGGTCAGGTGGTCGAGGGACGATGAGTGGACGTGAGTCGTAGAGAATGGAGCAACGTGACGCTGCAAGGACGCAGGAGCTGAGAGAGAGCCCTGGTGTCAATTCCTGGTGTGTGCGTCTACCGGTCATGGGTGTGATGACGAGGCCGGACACGGTGAGTACGCACCTCACACTCACCGCGCAGGCCGGGACGGCCGAGTGAGGCGGAAGGGTGTGCGCTGGCCAGGGACCATGCGCGGAGGTGTTCCTCAAGCACAGCCACCCCCCGCAGTGCCTGGATGACGTGCGGGTCGATCACATCCCGCTTTTCTCGGAGCACACACCAGGAATCGACGCCAGGGCTCTCTCTCAGCTCCTGCCACGTCCTCGTAGCGTCACGTTGCTCCATTCTCTACGACTCACGTCCACTCATCGTCCCTCGACCACCTGACCACGCTAGTGGCTACGCGCCTCCGCCTGGCTCCCATCCATGTCGTCCTCGCACACGTTTTCCGCGCACATTGTCCGTCCCACCTCGCACACGCCCATCGCAATCTGCCTGCGTTCACCTAGGATCGATACAGCAGCCCTATGCGATGCATCGATCTAGACGCACCGGTCATTCCCCTTCGCCCTTGGTGTCACCTTCGCCCTTGGTGTCGCACTCGCGCTCGTCATCCTCCTCGGTCTCATCCATTCTGACCTCCTCGCGCACCTCGTGTTCCCGCGATCCAACTCTCTTCGCGTTCGCTTTCCCCGCAATGCGTCATATCCCGGATTCCCCATTTCTATGCTTACACCAGCCCTCTATGTCCATTGTCGCCTTCACCGCCGTGGACTCGGCCCTGAGGCTGATGACTGTCGTCTTGCCCCACTGGTATACACTGTGTTTACCCATATGAACTGTTTATGCATACGCACCGTTTATGCATAAATGGGGCGTATGCATAAATGCGCCGTATGCATAATCACGCTGCATGCATAATCGGGCTGTATGCATAAACCGGCTGTATGCATAAACCGGCCGTATGCATGAACACGTTGTATGCATAAACAAATTGTATGCATAAACGCGCTGTATGCATAAACTTACTTGTGTCATCGGCATAGTCACTTACGCCTCTACAGGAAGCAAATGATATATTATGTGCTGCACAGGTGAGCTGATATCCGTTGGACATGGGCGGGAGATCATAGTGGGCATCTTGCATTACCCACTTTTGAGAGAGGATGGTCAGCTGGGGAGGACGGGAGTACATTAAGTCGACGTATTGAGAAATATAACAGTACATATAAAGAAACATATGAGCCGTTTTAATGGACTCATGGCGCAGTGGTAGAATTGCCTCCCACCTCCCCCTTTTGGGTTGGGTTGGGTGTTCGATTCCCCATTGCGTTGTTTTGTTTACGGACATTGACGCCTCTACAGTTGTATGCATTCACTAATGTTTATGCATATATTCGCGTATGCATAATTCACAATATGCATAAGCCCGGGGCGCTCTAACAGGGATTTATGCATATCATGTACTGCTATGTATGTTGGAGACGGGCCGCCGGGCCGTCGATTCTTGAGCTTGTGTAATTTAACGCGTTCAAACTTCAAACTGCGATGCAGCTGTCCAGAGATCCGGATGGACTGTCGCAGCACCCACTAGCACTACCAGCACCAGCGCTCTTGACGCCATAGATCCCTTCAATGGCAACATCTGCGAAGGGACACAGGCCAAAAACGCCCGCGTACTTCATTGAGCAACGGTGTCACTGTACAAGGTCTACAAGGTCGTGCTGCAGGTCGACCGTCCGCCTCTCGGACAAATCGCACATTAAACCCAGAGATGGCACGATAAGAGACGTTCATCGGACGCAGGACGGCGCTCACACCGCGAGCGCCGTCCGCGCCTTCTCGATCAAGTCCGCACAGTCCGCCCCCCGCGGTCGGATCTCGCACGCGAACGGCTTCGGCTGACTGTCCCGCCGCCCCAGATACCCAGGGAAAGACAAACAAACTCGTCAGCGCCCGCTCGTGCGCGAGGACGACGACGACGCACCTGACGAACCCGGAGTGGTACTCGCCCGCGGGCGCGACCCCCGCCGGGGCGCGCACGTCGAAGAGCGCGACGAGCCCCGCGGCGGCGAGCCAGACGTTCGCCTCCGCGAACTCGCGCCCGGGGCACAGCCGGCGCCCGAAGCCGAAGACGATCCGGCGCGGGTGGCGCGCGTCCGCCGTCGCGGGGTCCATCTCGAGCCAGCGCTCGGGGCGGAAGGCGTGCGGGGCGGGGTACGCGGCGGGGTCTTGAGTCATGTTCCTGCGTGGAGATGCGAGGGTGAGGAGAAGGGCGGGGTGGAAGGAGGGGGGACGGACCAGCAGTTGGGGACGACCATGGTGTCGCCGGGGATGCGGAAGCCGTTCCAGCTGTCTTCGGTGCGCGTGTTGTGCGGGATCGCTGTGGGCGTTCTGGTCAGCCCCGCGCCCCGCGCAGCAGACAGTGAGCGCACCGAGGGGGACAGGACACCGCCACCTGCGCACACATGTACACATGTCAGCGTCGCGCCTGAGGAATGATCCCCGCGCGCGTCGGGGACAGCGCAGCGGCCAAGCACGCAAGCACTCACCGGAGCACCTCGGCGAGCACGGCGTCGAGGTACGGCAGGCCCCCGCGGTCGTCGAGGTCGGGGACGCGCGCGCGGCCCACGACGCGGTCCATCTCCGCCTGCGCGCGCGCGAACGCCTCGGGGTGCATCACGAGCGCGAGCAGCACGTTCGAGAGCACCGTCACCGTCTAGATACGCGCGAGATAAGCGAAGGCGCGCGGGGGGAGAGCGCGCTGTCAGTTAGCCTTGGGCGATAGGCGTATAAACGCAGGCAGGCAGGAGGCGCGCACCGTCTCCGAGCCGGCTGCGCGAGCGGTCAGCGGGATAGAAGGGAAGGCAAGGGAAGCGGGGGGCGGGGAAACGGACCGGCGAAGATCGCGCCCGCGGCACCCTTGATGTCGTCCGCCTCCTCCGCGGTCGGGCCTCCACGGGCGAACGTCTCCTCGAGAAGGCTCGCGGTGAATGATGGACGTGCGGTGCCGGCAGCCTGGCCGTGCCCAGAAAAGGTGAGCGTAGAAGATACCAGAGGGATGCGGAAGATACACACAATCTGGCTCCTGACGAGTTCGTACGGCGCGTTCATGAGCTCCTCAACGAGCGCGCGGATCCGGAACGCGTTGCGTTTGAAGCCCGCCCCGGGCCCCCACGTGGGCAGCTCCTTGACTGCGTCCGCGGACCACAAGACCGAGCGGGAAGGATAAGAACGAAAGACGTCAGTGCGCGGCACACGAGAAGCGTAGCGACGGCCGCAGTCCGCGGGAAACGTGGGACGCGCAAAGAAGGTTGGGAGACACGCACGGAGGGGGAAGAAGTCGACGAGCATTGATCCCGGGCTCCCGCCGCGGACCGTCTCCGTCGTCGTCCGGTGCGCGAGGCGCGAGTACGGGTCCTCGAGCGACGCGATCTGGTGCCCGTATGTGATGTCCATGAT